GAGCGCCTGCTGGAGGCCGCGGCGGGCCCGGTGGAAGAGGCCGCCGAGGCGGCGCCGGGACGCACCCGCGCGGTTGAGAACCAGTACTCCTTCTACTAGCGGGGGCGGAGCGGGGAGGCGCCGCGGGAGGCCCCGCCCATCGGCGGCACGCCCCGCCCACCGGCCCTAGCCCGTTGCTGGGGGAAAAGCGAAGCTCTTCAGTGAAGACATAAATGTTATTAAAGAGCCTGTTTTAGGGACTGCACCCGGCCCTCCTGTGGTCCTTTTTGCTGTGCTGGCCTCTGTTGCCCTGCGAAAGCGGCTCCCTCCGTCGACGGACAGCTGCAGATCCACACTGGGACCTGGCACCTGCCCAGTCCCGTCTCAGTTTTGTTGTAAGGGAGGCAGCAGAGATAAAGAGCAGGGCTCAGGGAGTTTGTCCATGGCAGGGGGCTTTAGTGGAACTGTGAGAGAAAGAGATGGGGACAGTTAGGGACACAGTGAATGACGGAAAGGGCTCAGGTCACGCAGGCCTTGAATGCCACGATGAGGAGCTGGCTCTGGCTGGGAGAGTAAGGTGTCCTCATGCAGGTCAGTGCAGGCCTGGCAGTGTGGAAGGGTGGCAGGGAAGGTCTCTGCACATTAGCGCCTTGGGGGATTGGGCCTCGGGAGAGACTACCTTTCCCAGCCCTGCCTAGCATCCAGTGCCTGCTCACAACCTGAGCCGCAGCTAGAGCTCCATGTCCTCAGCCTGCACCCCGTACCCCGGCCTCAGGCCGTGCTCTTCCCACGTCCCTTCCCCTGCTCCAAACGCTGTCCCCCAGCCTGAAGCCACGGATCCATAGTCCCCTGCTCAGGAGTGACTTCGAAGGGCGAAGCCTGTGGTGTGAACCACAGACCCCCCAGGCAGCTAAACCTCAAGGCCTGCAGCTGAGACATCCACAGGAGGGGCGTAAGCACCCTTGGGTGACTCTCAGGGGTTGGGGCGCCCTGTCCGGCTGGAGCCCTTATGCTTTGGGGTCTGTGCCAGTCCCCACTGTGCCTGATCAGGAGCAGAGGGGATGGAGGAAGGCTTAGGCTGGACAAAGACCCAGGCTAGTAAGGGGGCCGCCTGCTCAGCTGCCTCAGGGGAATGCTGAGCTTTTCTCCCACTGCCTCGGAGGATGTGGCCTTTACAAGTGTGCCAAGGTGGCCTACGTGGTGGCATGAAGACTTGAACACAGTGTGTGCCAACCTGCAGCTCTCCTGCTCCTCAAGATAGTTGGCCACTGCAGAGGCCACTTGCATGCCTAGCACTCCGAACGGAACACGAACAGGCAAAAGGAACAGATGGCTGTGCCCTTTTAAAATTAGGAGCTCCGGGTAGGAGAACTTTCAGTAGGGTCTTTGCGCACCCTAAGCATAACAGTCCGGCGGTATTTCTGCATGTTCCTACGTTAAAGTGAATTCAGGGGGCAACTGGAAAATGACAAGGTGACCCTGGGCTCTCCCAAGGGACACAGCAAGAAAGGGCAAGCAGCAAGAGGTCAAGAGGAAGGACTGTCTTTCCTCCACAGTGCCCATCAGGCCGAGACCCACCAGCCTGTCACTCAGAGTGCTGCTTCCAGAAAGCCTAGACTTAGAGAGGCTCTGGAAAAGCACAGCAGTTGTACAACTGGCAGCAGCGTTTCCAACGTGGCTTCATTTGCTCCCCAGGAAGCACTTCAGACGCTGCTCTGGACCAGGACAGGCGTGGGGGTTAGCTGGGCAGGTGGCCAGGCAGGCCCACTCCCGTGTGACGGGCACAAGAGAGGCCAGGAGGGCCGGGCATGGTGGCACAGGCCTGTAATCCTAGCACTGGGGAGGTTGAGGCAGAAGAATCATGAGTTGGAGGCCAGCCTGGGCTACATAGTGAGACCCTGTCCCAAACAAGACAAAACAAAACAGGCCAGGGCTCTGGCTTTGTATGACAGTGGGGAGGGTTGTGGGTGCCAGGGACATCGAGGTAGAGAAGGCCTTGAAATCCAGGCAGGGAATTTGCTTACGAAGCCAGTGGCAGTGGGAAATGGGAGCCCGGATTGCCCTGGGGTCCTGGGGATGGGGAGGTGGGGTGAACCCTGGAGGCCGCAGTTAAGTCTGGGTGAGGAGTGAGGGTCCAGGGCGGGAGTGGAGGAGAGCAGCCGTGGAGGAAAGGTCATCAGCAGAGGGGCAGATCTTGCTGGGTGGAGGGGCGGGGCCTGCAGGACCCAGGCAGACAGCTCCACCAACAAGGGGCTGCAGGGAGGAGAACCCGGAAGGCGATCCCTGTGGCTAGGGGAGAGGAGGAGGCACCTGGCCAGCACCAGCAGAGGGCTCCCAGGGCTGGAGTCCTCTGTCCAGCCCAGGGCACACTCTCAACACTGGCTGGCTGCCCTCCTGCTTCCCCCTCAGGTAAGAGATGATGTTGGGGGTCTCCCTGCAGGAGCTGCACATGGTCATTTTAGCTATGGAAAGTCTCCTAGGCCAACACTGCTCCCCGGGAGGGGCCCTGGGTCCCAGTGAGGCTTTGCTGGGTTCATGGAGTTTGCCCCGAGGAGACCTGTTCTCAGAGTGCTCCATGGTGACCCAAGGGTGCAAGGACTCCCAGGCCTGACCACATAGAGTGGGTTTTCCTTTGCTCAGCAACCTCCCAGCCAGACTGGAAAATGGGAGAATGCCCTTCGAGCTTCCTCCAAGCAGATGGTTCCCATGGAAACGGAGCTGCGTGCTGGAGGAGGGGAGGATCCACACCTGTGCCTGCCCATCAGCAGGGAATGCTGACTTAGGGCCCAGAAGGCAGAGAGTCCCTGCGGAAACAGAACTGGCATTCCAGGAATGATGGAAATACACGGTTCCCTGTGGTGGTTACTTCTAATAGAAGTAAGTTGGAGCCCCTTCCGGGTAGAAGTAAACTTCCTGGGACCCAGGGGGGCTCTGATATGGCTGACATTAAGAGGGAAGCAGAGTATTAATGCAAATTTTGGGTGATGACTCACAATCATTCTCCTAAAATCCTTTTATTAAAAAATGCACCTGGCCAAAACTGCCATTCTGCGGGTGGGAAGTCATCTGTCTGCAGGGCCCTCTCCTTCAAGCTCTAGACCAGGGGTTTCTAATTTACTTCTTTTCTTTTCTTTCTTCTTCCAACACTGGGAATGATCCCAGCGCCTTTGCACTGAGCTACAGTCCCAGCCCTTTTTATTTTTTTTTTTATTTGGAGACAGGACCCCATTAACTTGCTAAGTTTTCCAGGATGGGTTTGAACTTGCGATCCTCCTGTCTTGGCCTCCCAGAATGCTGGGATTACAGGCCCAGCGCTAAACTCTTTCCTGTCTCAGGCACTTTAGCAGTCTGGTGAAACGTATAGTGCTCAGAAAAATCTTTTTTCTGTTTTGTTTGTTGCTTGTTTGTTTTTGAGACAAGGTCTCAATATGCAGCTCAGGCTGGCCCCAAACTCACAGCAATCCTCCTGCCTCAGCCTCCTCAGTGCTGGGACTACAGGCATGCACCACTGTGCCCAGCCAAAAAGAATGTTTAAAATGTATGAAATAAAATACATAGCCTTGCAAAGGAAACCAAGTTATACTGCAGTTAACTTAAAATATTAAATATAATCAAAAAGTAATCAAAATATTTTTTACAATTTGTGATAAGGTAATATACAAGGTTCTTTTTTAACACCTTAAATACCAAGCTGTAGCCGTGGTTCTCATCATTACTGTAATTTCAAAGTGCACTAGGGTTGCAAATGATACTTGAGAATTTCTGCAGTGACCAGGATGTGCTGTGACATACCTGATTTCAAGGGGCGCCCAAGTGACAGGTGAGGCTAATACTAGTGGGGTTTCTACTCAGGTGAAAGAAACCTGCCTTCCAGTTAGAGGTTAATTAAAGAGGTGGGCTAGGGTATGTTCAGAGGTGGGGTTCCCCCCCGCCCTGCAGAAAGCCACTTGCCCAGAAGATGCCCAGGGGAACGCAGAGCTGCCAGGGCCTCTATTTCCATTGCAAAACCTGGGAAATAACCCAGACGGCACCTGCAGGAGAAGGCATGACCGCCAGGCACGCCCATATGATGACAACTTAGCAGCCATGATGAGTGGACGCCAGCAACAGGTAGGGCCAAGGACAAATCTCCCAACCAAGACACTGAGCAAAACAGTGGGTTGTTTAGGATCTATAGTGATGCAGTAAAACCAAGAAAGACGCTGATAAACCTAACTCAGTATTTTAGTGCAGTTCGTGGGTGTGGGTGGAAATGCAGAGAGAGGGAAACCTGGGAAGAATGGGAAGCAGTTTGAAAGCTGAGTGGTAAGTATGTGGGGGTTCGGCAGGTCCCCCGCCCCCTGTAGTACAGGTTGAACCCAAGGCCTTCGCGTCGAGCTCACTGCCTGGCCTTTTGCATCTGGCTCTTTCAGTAAGCATGATGTTCTCAAGGTTCATTGAGCTACAGCCCCAGCCCATTCATTCATTCATTCAGTCAGTCAGTCAGTCAGTCAGTCGGTCGGTCAGACGAGTTGTCGCTAAGTTGAGAAGTTCTCCAGGCTGGGTTTGAACATGGGGGGATTAGAGGTGGACACCACCACGCCTACCTTGCTTTTTCCTTACACTTTAGTTTTACACGATCTATATTCTGCTGCAGGTGTGAAAAATTTCCTAATCTTAAAAATGAAATACATTTCATCAATACACTAATTTTTGTAAAAAAAAGAAAAAGAAAAAAGGAAAAAAATGAAAAGACGAAATGGAAGAAAGCAATTTACAAATCATATATCTGATAACAGTCAAGCATCCAGAATATAAAAAGAACTCTCACAACTCAACAAAAAAGATAACTCAGATTTTAGAATGAATAGAATTTTGGTTTTTTGGCCTTTTTTTTTTTTTTTTTTTTTTAGACAGGTTCTCCTAATGTAATTCAGGATGGTCTGTATCCCACTCTCGGTGATCCTCCTGCCTCACCCTCTTGCTTAAGATTACAAGTGTATGTCACCAGGTCTGGCTAGAATGAATATAATTTGAGTAGACATGTTTCCAAGGCCAATACAATTGGCCAATAAACCCCTGAAATCTTCAACATCATAAAACACAAGGGAGATGAAAATCAAAACCACAATAAAATACCACTTCCGTGCTGCATGAGATAGCTTGTGGCAGAAAGGCACAGCACACATAAAATTACCCTTCTGACATAAACAGCTCAGGAGTTGTTAGTACATTTCCATAGCTCTGCAACCATCACCACTACCTAGGTCTAGAACGCATCCATTA